ATATATATTAGCTCTGGAGCTAACGCTATTAGCTCCAGAGCTAATGTCAACTATATTAGCCCTAGAGCTAACACGATTAGCTTCAAAGCTAACAACACATATTTTAGCTCAGGAGCTAACGTGAGAGTCATTTCAACACACTTTGGTTCAATTTAAAGGGCTGAAAGTCAGATAACGTCCAAAATTAACATTTAAGCTGAACTGGAGTAACTTATATCTTTTACCCAAAATGCATTGCGGCGTAAATAAACTGGCAGTTCATGTAGTCGCTATGGACTTTCAATTTTCCAATCTTATTTTTTTGAAAAACATGCCCTTGAACAATAGCCTAGAAACAAAACAAACTTGTTTTAACTGGCCATGAGGTAGCGCTCTGACATATAAAGGAAGTTCAGACAATTGTTAAAACAAACAAAAAAAAAAGGTAAAATCGGTTTGTCATGCAAGTTTCGTCCGATTTCCGAAAATTAAGGAAATCGGGGCCGATTTATCGGTGCACCCCTAAAAACAAGTTATAAAAACTAAACAGCCCACAGTATTTTTACGGTCTCGTTTTGATAATTGAAGTCATTGTTTATCAAATGAAGCCTTTCAAGCTCTTTTCTTTCTTGTGAACAAAGTAGGCTAACTCGTCAAACAAAAGACGACGGTTCAAAACCGTTACAGGATTTTCCACCTCCCACTCCAGCGTATAACTCTATTTTTAACTCCCCTCTGACATCCCAACTCTCCATGCACGGCCTTTCAACATGCAGCTCAGGAATAAGAACAATAAACACGAAAACATTTATTATCCTCAGCGATGACACACCAAATTATACCCACAGAGAGCTGACACGCACAGATCTGTGTTCGAACAACTCATGCAGACTAATAGCTGCGCTTCAAAACACTCATTTGTGGTGCCGAGAGGCATGTCGTTCCACTTGCTCAACACTTTCTCCTCCGACCGTACACGGACATGGCAACGGGACAAGATCTTACTGCGATGCGAAGCAGGGTGGCTCTGACGGCGGCCCATCGGTCCAGCCGTCTGTCGACGATCAGGATGAAACCCAGTCCTGATGCTGCGGCGCTGCGGGAGAAAAACACGCAGCGTTATCGCCACAAAAAGCTGCATTTCTGTGTCCGTGAGATAAGAAGGTGCGATCTGTTGGGGTGGTGCAAGTCTGCACAGCAGCTCAAACCATGTTCTCCATCCTGCATGTCTCTGTGTGTGGGTGCAGCAGATTGCATAACAGACCTATAAAATGATATTCTATCTTTTAATGTGGCCATTAAATTGATGCTGTTGGGTAATTTTAAGATTGTCTTTGTTCAGTACAACCAAATGAGGTTTTGCGTAATTATTAAGCATTTTATTTTTTAAATAACACATTAAACGAGTAAGTCAGAGTGTTATAAAGTGGGGTTCTGTGAAGACATCATGAACAGGCAGTATCTTACCTGTTGTTGATGGCTCTTTTGGTGAAAAGCTAATGGTTGTTACAGCTGGGCCAAAACCAAAGTGGATTGCTGCAGCCTTAAAAAAATGTCATAGCAGTTCCTCCAAACCATATATATTTTTTATTCTTTACATAAATCTCACTTTCACTTTATTCGATATTCCGGCAGAAATTATATGAATTCCTTCCAGAAGTGCACCCAGGCTGCACCAGAAATGCTACAGTTAGCTATGGTTAACACTATACACACTTGCAAATAGTCTTAGAAGTCCACGAAAGTAGCTGTTAATTAGCATAATACATATTTTACATTTTTAATTATATGCAATTTATTTATTTGTTCATTTATATATTATATTCCTACTAGAAGTGTTTCAGAATGAAAGGCTACAGCTAACTACTGCCAAAACCGTTAGGGCATGCTAATAACAGGCTTCTTTGTAAATATTTGCAAGATAATAGACTGTCATTTTTATACCATGTATAATATATTTATATATAACTGTGTATATATTATTATTTAAAGATTATATTTTTGATTAAAGTGATCTAGGATGCACAAGACATGCTACAGCTAGCTAGCGCCATTTGCGCTTGCTAATAATCATTGAACTCTATGCAAATGATTTTTAACAATATATTACGTTTTAAATGGTTTGAAATATATAAAACTTATTTAATTTATTATTTAACACAAGTTATAGTCCTATTGAAAATGCTTCTGGTGGACATCCTACAGCTAACGACTATTAACAACATTTGCACAGCTATTAACTATAGCATTCTATGGAAATATTTGTTCATTAATATGACTCATAAAATCTTTAACATTATGTTTTATTCTTTTATTTATTATAATAGATTGTATTCCTGCTTAAAGTGCTCCCGGATGCACCACAAATGCTACAGCTAGCTGCTGCTAACAACAAATGTGCTTGATACTTACCACAATCCAATGTCAAAACTTGTTAATTAATATATTACATATTTATAATATTACATATTTAAGTTGTTTATATATATATTATATATATATATTATTTATATATTATATTCCTACTGGAAGAGCTTTAGGCTGAAATGCTACAGCTAGCTACTGCTAACAATATACGCACTTGCTAATAACCACAGAATATTGTGTAAATATTGGCTTATGATTTAAAAAAATTATATATATATATATATATATATATATATATATATTTTTTTTTTTTTTTTTTTTTTTTAATTAATTAATTTTAAATAGATTATGTTCCTGCTTAAAGTGCTCCAGTATGCACCAGAAATGCTACAGCTAACTGCTAGGAGCAGCTACTTGAACTTGCTAATACCCGTAGCATTATGCAATTAATAGCAGCTGAAGTTGACAGCAGTGTAAATGTTTGTAAATTAGCATAAACTGATATGATTTTTTTAAACTAACAGCATCAATCCACTTTAGGCTCCGAGTAGCCGTTAGCTCACCAGCTGGGACACAATTACACTTTACTTCTTCAAAAATGTAATTACTTTTTATTTTATTTTATTAACTCACATTAGTTATTGTCAGGATCTTTTACTGGCCTTAAAAACTGGACCTATTAAGAAACCCAGCAGCTAGAAAAGGTCCAAACTGTGTGAACGCAGCTGTCATCTATCATCGCCGATGATTATGAGACCCTTCTGATTACCATGGCAACCTTGGCAGTGCATTAATACATGTGTGTGTGTTTGTGTCCAATCCACAGGCAGAGCCATATGTAGTCGCCTCATTAAGCTAATGTTTGTGTGTGTGTGAATGTATGTATGTGTGTGTGAATGCAGCATTTTAGCAAAGGTCCTTTAGAACAAGATGACATACATCTCAACATTTTGACACACGAATTATGAGTTTGGACATTCAAGCAAAACACACAAGAACACACACATTGCAACACCAGCATGCAAACAGTGATGATCCGAACTATCAGGGTGTCATCACACAGATATTAACATGATGTACCGATAAAGGCTGCCTCAGTCCATCTTTACTGACAAAAATATCCAAACCAGAAAAAAGAAGAATGAAGGGAAATCTTGGTATTCCAGAATAAAAGCCTTCAATAATCCATTGTTAGCACCCAGTCTTCTATAAATCCGGTTTATTCTGAGTTGTCGGCTCGGAGAGGGATGACCGTTCCCATCCTTGCACAGCATCTCCCTCCTCCTTTTCTCCTCCTCTCCTCTGCTCCTCCACCAGCCTCCTGCCACCCCACCTCAGCCAATCGCAGCCGAGCCTCGCGGCTTGTTGCTCCCCCTCAGCCAACCGGAGCTCAAAAACCAGCCCATTGGCATCGTGGTGCAAGACGGTGACACGGAGGGAGGGGACTCAAAAGGCGAGAGGAGGTGTAGGAACAGACACAAAAAGGATGCTGACAGCGTCTAAAACACGCGCAGGTTGATGAGCAGATGCGTGCTCCTCCCTTTAATTGTGCACTGACGAATGTGTTGTAACACAAATACAGTGTAGTGCTGAGAAAAATGGGAAAATTCAAAGAAATTTAAGATTGGGAGGTAGAAAGGAATCATGATTTTTTTTTTAAAACATTCATTTGCAGAAATTTATGTTGGAAAAAAAATCCTTGTAAATTTTCCTAATGTCTAAAAAAACATTTCAGCTTTTTATTTAAGCTTTATGTTCCCTTCCAATCTCTACATTTTAACCTTTTAGTTCCTTTCTTGGGCCGGGCTTTTAGTCTAATGCCGGCATCTATTGGCAGCGCATGGTATTACAGCCCAGACTAAGCCAAAGCGGGCGGGTCGCTCACCTGGGGATGCTCGTCAGGTAGCGGAGCACATCCTGTACCTCCTCCTCCCCTAGCTCGCCGAAAGCTGGGAACTCTGGGAGGACGACGACGGGGTTGCCGTTCATCCCGCGGCCGCCTGCAGAGTTCAGGAGGACGAGTCAGAGGTATGATCAAACTGCTGAGGCCGGGATTCTTAACCCGTTAACCTAACAAGAATCACCAACTTTGTCTGAGAAGCAGCATGTATACGTAGACGACAATGTACAAACAATGCAAAAATATATATAATATACATGTATATATATCAATATATATATATATATATATATAAATAAAAGATTTAAAAACCTCATTTTGAGCTGTTACATGGTGGAAGGGTGATGATTGTATTTAAAGATTTGTTGAAACATTAGGGCGTTAAATAAGATATTAATGTTCAATTCTGCTCTAAATAAGAAACCAATTTTTATAAAGTAAGAAGGTTTAATTATAAGTAGAATTAAACTTTTATTGTGTCAATGGATACCTGAGAAAGGGGTAGGAAAATATCTATTTTACTACAAGCTACTTGTTTTTAAACAAGTTGGTCAAAATGTTTTTGTGACTTACTTTTATAAAATGCAACAACAATGCAGCCATGTTTAACAGTTTTGATTTTTTTGTTGTTGTTAATTTTCTGCAACCAGCTTTTAAGGTTAATGCCATGATAAATCACCTACAATATCATTAACAAACATGATTTAAACCCATGCAGCTGTAATGTTAGGATGAAGCCATTTCTAAACAAAAGTACCGCATAACATTATACGCCGATGACAAACTAATATACAATTATCTATAGCAATGGTCTGGAAAAGCAAATACTTTGTATAACGTTTGACATTAATTTATAACCTTGACCTTAGAGCTGGGGTGATTATCATTTGTGTGTAAAGATTTGTTAAATTATCTTGAGCGGATAAGAAGTCATGGGCGTGACAAGAGAAAGTTTACGGACGAACAAACTGTACCACAATACGTCCGTCTTTAGACAGATGTATAAAAAGGCAAATAAAGATGAAGCTTTTCCAAAAAGTCTAGAAGCTTTTCCAAAAAGTCTAGAAGATTTTCCAAAAGTCTAGAAGCTTTCCCAAAAGTCTAGAAGATTTCCCAAAAGTCTGGAAGTGTTTTCAAAAGTCTATAAGCTTTTCAAGTCTAGAAGCTTTTCTTATGGACGAACAAACTGTACCACAATACGTCCATCTTAAGACAGATGTATAAAAAGGCAAATAAAGATGAAGCTTTCCAAAAAGTCTAGAAGCTTTTCCAAAAGTATAGATTTTCCAAAAGTCTAGAAACTTTCCCAAAGGTCTAGAAGCTTTTCTAAAAGTCTAGAAACTTTCCCAAAAGTCTAGAAAATTTCCCAAAAGTCTCGAAGCTTTTCCAAAAGTCTAGAAACTTTCCCAAAGGTCTGGAAATTTTTCTAAAGTCTAGAAGCTTTTCTAAAAGTCTAGAAACTTTCCCAAAGGTCTAGAAGCTTTTCCAAAACATTTAAGAACTTTCCCAAAGGTCTAGAAGCTTTTCTAAAAGTCTAGAAACTTTCCCAAAAGTCTAGAAGCTTTTCCAAAAGTCTACAAGCTTTTCCAAAACTAGAAAATTCCCCAAAGGTCTAGAATATTTTCTAAAAGTCTAGAAGCTTTCCCAAAAGTCTTGAAGCTTTCGAGCGGCGCCTTTTAAGTCACTTAAAAGTGGAGCTATTATTAGAAAGAGGAAGACAAATCTGTGTTTTTTATTTTAATTCATGGACAGTTTTTAAAATCCAAAGCTTTCAGCAGATCAGTCCTGATGTCTGGTAGAGGCTACAAACACAAGATTTGCTGATTATATGTCATACATTTCAGTTTGAACACTTCTTGGCTCAATTCTTAGCCGTTCAGTCCGTTTGTTGTCCAACTTCATCTTGAGGGAGACAGATCAAACCCACCTGGGAGGATGGCAAACTGTTTCTGGAGTTCAGAGCCAATTTCAGCTGCACACAGCGGACCGTCCTCCTTCTGCACGATGTCATCTAGACAGAACAAACAATGACAGATACGGTTATTTAAAAGTCTCTACTCCACCAGAAAAAAATGTTTAACTTATTTAACTTTTATCTGGAGATTGACGATGCTCAGGAAGTGGGGAAATATGAAGAAATAACAAGTGTACAAGTGGTACGCTAATGTCCAGCCATCTCTGAGGGGACTGAAGAGTGAATGTTTGTAGTTTTAGAGAGGAGTGTTTTTCTGGACTAGAACTGAACAGAGAATGAAGTAAACCTTAATGTTTTTGGTGCAAGATATTCAAGTGGGTAGGAGATGTATGTAGAAGAAAAGAGATAGATGACGAATCCTGCCGAGTAGAGGGAGCTATTTTATCCACCACTATGTGCAAGGGCACAGACAAGACATGGGGTGATCAATGGTGGCCTTGACCCCCACAGATTAATCTTTGGCCACCTCAAGCATTACCCTGATCATTTGAATAAAGTATACTTTTAGGCAACATAAAAACTACAAATAATAGTTTGCTTACATGATTGGGGTGGTCTTTGGGGTGCCCAATTTACATACATATTTGGTGGCAGCCAGCTTGGTTAGACTTGGCAACCTTTCAACCACACACCAAAATGAAAGTAGGCATGCTGCTTATTTTATGTTATTTAGTTTTCAAGATGGACATAATAACATGGTAGCCATCTTGGATTTTGACGTGGCAATCTAATTTACAAAATTAATCTTTCTTTCACCTTGATGTAGCCACACACTAAGATGGACGTTGGTATCTCACTAATTATTCAAGTTATCCAGCTGACAACATGCATGGACATGGAAAAAGTGCACAGAGGGATTGGTTGTAAATATTAAAAGTTGAAGTTGAATAAAGCCACAACTTTACCTGACAATAAAGAGATCTAGTTTGTCAAAAGCACAAGTGTTGTCTCCTGTCACTGACGGGTTTGAACAGTGAGCGTTTGTAGTTTTGGGGATGAGTGTTTTTCTGGACTGGAATTGAACAGAGAATGAAGTAAACCTGAATGTAGGAGTTACAGTGTGTAGAAGAAGAGTGGGGGGTCTTTTGTTGCTTGTCTGAGACAGTGTAGAGTGACGGATCCTGGTGAGGCGCAATGTTGGACCAGTGGGGGAGGAGGAGTAATGGGACTTGGCCCCCATAGATTAAGCCACAAAGGACACCCCAGTCATTTGAGGAAAATGTACGTTTTAGCCATATAACAACTAGAAAGCATAGTTTCCTCAAATGATTGGGGTGTCCTGTTTAAACACACACTTTATATACCATATTTTCTGCCGAACTTGTCGCACCGCCCTATAAATCTCATCAGTCCAAATTTGTCTAATAAAGTGGAAAAATCCATAAATATGTCTCTTCGCCATATACGTTGCATCTATTATGCGTCACCGCTGACAACTCAGAAATGTGGGTCAGTGTTGTGCCAAAAATCGATTGGCTGCCAAATGGCGGCCAGGGGAGCGTGCACGGGAGGACTTTAGCAAGAATTTAACAAGATTAACACTTAAAAACAATTATATGTTTGCTCGAAATTACAGCAAAGGTGTGTCTCAGTGGAGCTTTTCCTTAATAAATACACTTTGATGGTCAAATCAGCTGCATTTCGCAGGAGCGGTGCTGCGAAATGAAGCTGATTTGACAGTTGCTTCAAGCAGCGAGCAGAATGAAGGTGGCAGACTATGGCAAGCTGATTGTGTCATTAATAGCTGGTGAAGATTCTCAGTGGTGTGGTCGCTGATGCGGAAAGGCCCGGGAGGGGTGAGCATCCGCTCGGCCCCTCCCGTTCCAACACTACGCTCTCCGGGAGGGAATGAGCAGTGGGGCTGCTGCTGACGTCGCCTGTCCCGGAGGAACCATCCGATTCGTTCCGAGACCCGGCGTAAAAAAAAATCAATGGCATCGTCCAACGAGCAGTCCCCCGCCACGGAGAGGCACTCCTCCATGTTAGCCTTAAACAAGGCTGCTCGCCTCTGCCTCTCCTCAGGGGGGAGGAGATCACAGAGGCGGCAGGAGGAGGCAAGGTCGGCGTGGCGGGGACCTAGGCATCCTTCGCAGGTGTCGTGCCGGTCGAAGCTCAGCATGTAGCCGGTCTTGCAGGACGGGTACAAGCAGATGGTGTTGGTGCTGGACATCATGTTGTTGGAAGATCAGAGCTAGTTGCTTGCTGAAGAAAAATGGGAGCCGATTACCCGCTCTCAACGTAATTTATACGGACCGGGTAGGGCCTACACGACAGGTGGGCGTGGCCTAAATTTTTCAGTGCGACGCTTTGCGTGACGGGATAAACCCCACAAGCGACAGCCTTAAAGGGTGAAGCCTATACGAAATAGAACCATAAATACGTCGCTGCGGCCTATAAGTCGCAGGGAATGCAAATTATGCAAAAAAACGTGACTTATAGGCTGAAAAATACAGTATATATATGATGGCAGCCATCTTGGATTTTGACGTGACAACGCAATATTCAATGGTGACCTTTCTTACACCTAGATGCAGCCACACACCAAAATAGAAGTTGCTTATTTTTCAAGTTATCCAGCTCACAAGATGGATGGACAGGCAACTGTATGCATGTATTTTTCAAATAAAATGATCTACGGTTGCCATTTTATGTTGTCAGTGATGACGTTTGAAGCAGCAGTTAAGAGTTTTCAATATTAAAGTCAAAACATTTTTCTTGATAGATATGACATGTTCGTCTAAAAGGATAGAATAATATTCCAATTAGCCTCTTTTGGCGCGGGTGTTGTGCCAAAAAAAAGCACCCAGCTCATGACACGATTCTCCACAGACATGCCTGTGTGGATGTGTGTAGATTATTTTAAAAAAGGAAATAATCAGCCGACCTATCAGCCATTCTACCTAATTGTCTACAAGAGCGAAACATTTCAGGCGATGACCCAATTTTGCAGCTCTTCCGAAGGAAAAGATCCACCGTATTTCTTTATTTCACCTTCAAAACTTAAATGCTGAAGAATCAGCATCTCTGGAGCTCCTCGTGATGAAGAAACCTGTCGGATTAGGAGTTTAGACCTTCCGTAATCCCACATACGTTGTGTCAGCACACAGTCGGCTAGACGGTGACTCAGACGACGCACCGTAAATCTGATGTGGGATGCACATCTGCTCCGAGTCGAGGATGGAGGGGGGAATGTGAGCAGCTGTTTACGAGAGGTTTTGGGTAAACACGCCGATGTTAAACCCAACAAGCAAGTTGGATTACAACAGATTTGGAGTAAATGCCAATAAATCATTAGATTAGAACTCTTAGATTATGTTACAATGTTAGATCAGTGGCTCGACAATATTTTATAACATTACAATGGGAGCAATTTTATACACCACTAGTAGATAGGAGTAGCACTGGCGGAGTCAGAGGGTGGCCAATGGTGGCCTTGGCCGCCACAGAATTACCTTTAGCCACCCCAACCATTTGAGGAAACTGTAATTTTAAGCAACAAATTTTTATTGGGGTCTGCCTAGAAAGACAGCCACCTATTATTATCCACCTGAAAAGGGTCGTACTCTTCTATCAACTTTAATGCGGCCTAACCCGTAACATGTCCCCCCCATACAAATGTTATATCAAAACGACTGGCTCGGCACCATCATGTGTGCCATTACTTTTATTGGCATTTTGAGTTACCATGGTGATATAATTTGCAAACACAGACACCATTTTTCCATTGAAAAACACAGACAGGACTCTTTAACAGCCTCTAACTGCCACAGTAAGGTCATGTGGAGCCATTTTGGTTCAAGATGGATGCCACAGCTACCTCTGAAAACTCAAAATTGACTACAACTCCGTCATTCTTTGAGATATTGAGCTGAAATTTGGTCCGGTCGTAGCCGAGAGCGAGCTGTTATACACTCCTAATGCAACTTAAAAATCAAAGATGGCCGCCTTAGTTAAAAGGGGAAAAATATGATAACTCTGCTATTTTAAAAGATATTAAGCTGAAATTTGGCGAACTGGTAGCTGAGAACAATCTCTAATAGACAATGACTGCAAATCAAAAATCTAAGATGGCCGCCTGAGCTAAATAGGAAAAATACTATAAATCAGCCATTTTTTTTTAGATATTTAGCTGAAAATCGGTGTGGTGGTAGCTGAGAGCAATGGCTGATAATTACTGAATTCAAATAAAAAATCCAAGATGGCCACCACAGCTTTAAAGAAAAAAAAAAACCTATAACTTGTTTGTTTATTTTTGCCATGTTGAGCTGAAATTTGGTATGGTGGTAGCTGAGATCGAACCCCAACACATAGTACTGTCAAATCTAAATTTTAAAATGGTCGTCTCCGTCAAAGTTTCTTGAGTAACTTTCTAGTTGTTTTATGTCTATTTTTCTTAGGGACCCTTAATGCAGCTAAATGGAAGTTGGTGCCTCGCTTACGTTTCAAGTTACGCTCACAACATGCACGGACGGACGGTTTTTCCATCTCCCCCTCTTCCCACTTCGATGGCGGACAATCAAAGAGTTTAGAGGCAGCTCAGCTGAACATTTAGCCGCTAAGAATTTACGCACCAAACAGTTCCACTCAACTTCTTTCACACCAGAACCGATTCATTAAGCATCCCCCATTAATCTTTATCTGGATTATGTCATGGGCCGAGAAACAAACAAACAAAAACAGATTTGCTTTTAGGTTTGTTTACAAAGACGTTTTATAAAGTGGTGCGGTCAAACGAGCCCGAAGGAAAAGCTTGTAAAAGATCCTCATGTTCGGCATTAGTGATATCTGATCCACACGAGGCAGCCTGTGTGAGCAAATGTGTTGACACGTGCACAAAGTGTGCGTGTGTGTGTTGTTGGATAGTTGCAGCAGCTGTCAGATCACAGAGCTGACTAACTCTGAGTCATGGCCAGACGTGCACATTACGACGTGGGCTAATCCATTCATCTGCTGCACCTTCAGCAGTCGGCTCCAGCTGATCGCTCCGTTAAATGCCGACGCTGTTCTACAAGCGCCAAAATAACGTTTAAGCGTGA